TTGGGGTTCACTGGGGCTCGTTAGGGTTTGTTGGGGTTCATTGGGGCTCCTTGGGGTTCATTGGGGTTCATTGGGGTCCCGCCCCCGTGGCTGAGCCCCCGCACGCCCTCGTGTCCCCCCAGATCACGAGCGCCTTCGACATGGAGGCCGTGACCTTCAAGAAGCTGGTGAAGGGCCACGCCTACTCCGTGACCGGCGCCAAACAGGTCAGCGGCGCTGGTTTGGGGTGGAAACAGCGCTTTTTGGGTCACGTGGCCCTGACGGTGGCACCAGTTTGGGGTGGAAACGGCTCTTTTTGGGTCACGTGGCCCTGACACCGGCACCGGTTTTGGGGCGGAAACGGCGCTTTTTGGGTCACGCGGCCCTGACGCTGCCATCAAACAGATCAACTACCGCGGGCAGTCCCTGGGCCTGATCCGGATGCGGAACCCCTGGGGGGAGGTGGAGTGGACGGGGCCCTGGAGCGACAGGTGAGGTGCTGCCATTGGGGCCACGAGGTTCGTTAGCGGTGGCTAACGAGGGGCCCGGGCCCCACGTGACCCCTCTGCGCCCGCAGCTCGCCCGAGTGGCACGCGGTGGAGCCGGCGCTGCGCCAGCAGCTCATGGTCAAGATGGAGGACGGGGAGTTCTGGTGAGGAAACAAGAGCAAGACAACCCCCCACCCACCCACCCACCCCTTTCCCAGCCCCGGGGAAACGAGGGGGGAAAAAAAACCTTCTCCGTGCAGGATGTCCTTCCGGGATTTCCTGCGGGAATTCACCCGCCTGGAGATCTGCAACCTGACCCCGGACGCGCTGCAGGCCCGCAAGTTCCGCAAGTGGAACACGCGGCTCTACGACGGGACGTGGCGGCGCGGCAGCACCGCCGGCGGCTGCAGGAACTACCCCGGTACGCGCCGGGAGGGGGGAGCCCCAGTCCCCCTGACCCCGACTTCCCAATCCCGGCGCCCGCTGAGCCTCCTGCCGTCCTCTCCCAGCCACGTTCTGGATCAACCCGCAGTTCAAGATCCAGCTGGAGGAGGTGGACGACGACGGGGACGAGGCCGGCGGGCGCGAGCCCGGCTGCAGCTTCCTGCTGGCGCTGATGCAGAAGGACCGGCGCCGCCAGCGCCGCTACGGCAAGGACATGGAGACCATCGGCTTCGCCGTCTACGAGGTAACGCCGGCGGCCGGCGGCGGTTGAGGTCAACTGGCATCAATCGGTGTCAAGTGGTGTTAGCTGGTATCAGTTGGCATCAGCTGGTGCTGGGTGGGGTCAGCAGGGGTCAACTGAGGTCTTTTGGGGTCAGTTGGTGTCAACTGGCATCAGCTGGGGTCAATTGATGTCAACTGGTGTCAATAGGCATCATCCAGTGACAACTGGGGTCAATTGATGTCAACTGGGGTCAATTGCAGTCAACTGACATCAGCTGGGGTCAATTGGTGTCAACTGTTGTCAGCTGGTATCAGTCGGTGTCTGCTGGGGTCAACTGGCGTCAAATGGGGTCACTGGGTGTCAGCTGAGGTTAACTGGGGTCAATTGGTGTCAACTGGGGTCAATTGGTGTCAACTGGGGTCAATTGGAGCCAACTGGTGTCAACTGGCATCAGTTGGGGTCAACTGGTGTCAACTGGTGTCAACCAGCATCAGTTGAAGTCAGCTGGAGTCAACTGGTGTCAAGTGGCATCAGTTGGTGTCAACTGGTGTTGACTGGCATCAATTGAGGTCAACTGGGGTCAACTGGTGTCAAGTGGCATCAGATGGGGTCAATTGGTGTCAACTGGCATCAGTTGAGGTCAGCTGGTGTCAAGTGGTGCCAAGTGGCCTCATGGGGTGAGTTGAAGCCGACCGGTGTCCGTCCCGTCCCCGCAGGTCCCTCCCGAGGTGGGTACGAGGCCCCGGCGGTGCCGCCGCCGTCACCGCGCCGGTCACCGGGCGGGAAACACCCACGGTCACCCCGCGGAGGGTCTGTTTTTGGGGGTGACGGTGGGTGTTTCCCGCCCGGCGCCGGCAGCACGTGGGGCAGTCGGGGGTGCACCTGAAGCGGGAGTTCTTCTTGGCCAACGCGTCGCGCGCCCGCTCCGAGCAGTTCATCAACCTGCGCGAGGTGAGCACGCGGCTGCGGCTCCCGCCCGGCGAGTACATCGTGGTGCCCTCCACCTTCGAGCCCAACCGAGAGGGCGACTTCGTGCTCCGCTTCTTCTCCGAGAAAAAGGCCGGAACTGAGTAAGCCTGAGCTCAACCCTGATCCTGACCCTGACCCTGACCCTGACCCTAATCCTAATCCTGAACCTGACCCTGAGCCTAACCCTGACCCTGAGCCTGAGCCTAACCCTGAGCCTGACCCTGAGCCTGACCCTAACACCCAGCCTGACCCTGATCCTGAGCCTGACCTTGATCCTGACCCTGAACCTGACCCTGACCCTGACCCTGAGCCTGAGTTTGTGCTTCGCTTCTTCTTGGAGGAGGAAGCTGGCACTGAGTAATCCTGACCCTAAACCCTGACCCTAATCCTAAACCCTGACCCTAATCCTGACCCTGACCCTAAAGCCTGACCCTGATCCTAAAGGCTGACCCTGATCCTAAAGCCTGACCCTGATCCTAAACCCTGACCCTGATCCTAAACCCTCACCTTAACCTTGACCCTGATCCTAAACCCTGACTCTAGTTGTAATCCTAACCTGATCCTAAATCCTAATCCTAACCATGACTCTAAACCCTGACCCTAATCATAACCCTGATCCTAAATCCTGACTCTAACCCTGGCTCGGTCCTAAACCCTAATCCTAACCTTGACCCTAACCCAAGTCCTAACCCCATCCTAAACCATAGCCCTGACCCCTGACCCTGACCCTAAGCCTGACCCTAACCCTAACCCTAAGCCTGACCCTGACCCTAACCCTAACCCTAACCCTGACCCTAACCCTAAAGCTGACCCTAAGCCTGACCCTGACCCTTCCCCCTGCTCTTCTGTCTGCAGGGAGATGGACGACAAGATCCAGGCCACGCTCCCGGACGAGGTGAGCAGGGGTGACCCCGGGGGGGGTGACCTCAGGGGGAGGTGACCCCGGGGCGGTGCCTGGTGACCCAAACCGGCCGCTTTTCCCCCCAGAAAGTGCTGTCGGAGAGCGAGATCGACGAGAACTTCAAGCAGCTCTTCAAGCAGCTGGCGGGGCCGGTAAGGGCGGGGTTAACAATGATGTCATTGGTCTGGGATGCTGTAATTGGTTGGCAATGATGTCATTGGTTAACAATGATGTCATTGTTGTGGGATGGTGTCATTGGTTGGCAGTGATGTCATTGGTTAATAATGATGTCATAGGTTAACAACGATGTCATTGATGTGGGATGCTGTAATTGGTTGGCAATGATGTCATTGGTTAACAATGATGTCATTGCTGTGTGATGCTGTAATTGGTTGGCAATGATGTCAGTGGTCAGCGATTATGTCATTTGGTGATGACGTCATTGCTGACATCACACTTTGCGATGATGTCATTGCCTGGCAATGCTGTAACTCTGTGACGTCACGGTGATGATGTTATTTGTTGGTAGCAATGTTGCTGCCTCGTGATGTCATCGGTTGGCAATGACATCATTGCTTTGCGATGACATCATTTGTCTGAGATGACGTCACTGGATTGCACTGATGCCATTGGGCGGCGATGACGTCACCGCTCCCCGGTGTCCCTTTGTCACCGTTCCCCTCTGTCCATCCCCCCCCAGGACATGGAGATCAGCGTCCAGGAGCTTCAGACCATCCTCAACCGCATCATCGCCAAACGTGAGCCCCAGGAACCCCCCCAACCCCGATTAATTAACCCCAATTAGCCCCAATTAATTAACCCC